TTGACACAGTTCTAAACATGTAAATATATACAAAATTATTTGAAAACAAATCTTAAGTATCTAAGATGGAGGGAAGGATGGATATTATTATAATGTTAACAAATCAACAAATATGAAATAGTTTGATTTATTAGAAAAAATAAGATAAATGAAGAAAAAAAATCAATTATTATTGTATATATACTAGCTGGCCCGGCAATCTTTGTTTTTCCATAAAAGTTTCTAATAATTTTTAGTATAAAAAATACTGATTGTAAATGTGGTATATAAGTGAAAGGAGCAGCTAACAAAAAGTATATGAATAGTTTTACCACTGCAAAGCACGCCACATATAAATATTTCCCTGAATCATATTAATGTCTTTGCAAGAACCAACCTAATCTGAAACTGATTCTGTTTAAAATTGAATTGGCACATTTAAAGTTTCAAGATTTTGATATTTTATTACAGGGCTTTTTATTATTTCAGTAATTTCACGAATTACAAAGCAAAATCCGATAATTCACTTTTAAATTATATTATAAATTTTACAATTATACCATAGATTTCTATAGTACCAAGTTCCTTATGAAAAACTGTTAAATCTTCAGATTTTGATATTCAATCCCACTAAATGTTTTGAAAAAAAAATGCTCCTTATGAAAACCATTTATAAACTATGAAAATATTTGTACAATGGGAAAATGAGAGGAGTAGACAACCCTTTATAAAAATAAATTGTTTTTTTTTCAAATAAAACTTTAGCTTTTGCCAAAGCTCAAGAAAATCAGAATTAATATTAATTCAAAAACATTCATTGGCTAAAAGCGTAATGAAAAATTACTAAAATACTAAAATTAATGTATGAATGGGAAAATAAAAATTTAATGATTTTTGTATTTAAATAACACATTATTACAAATTAAAATAAAGAAAGTTGTCCAAAAATATAAATACATGTTAGACGTGGACTACACTTAATTAAAAATCTAGTTTTTTTTAATTAAATTTAAGTTTTGGCATATTTCTTATAAAAAACAACTATGCAGCTGGATCACTTTGAAAAAAATTCAAAGTTGTCAAAAAAATTCTAAATTTTCAAAAAATTGCAGGATTATCAAAGATGTTAAAAAAAATCAAACCACTCAACAGATGTGTCCATAAAATTTATGTTTTGCATTGGATGAATAATGTAACTATTATTTCGTAAAGTTCATTTAAAATTTATATTCAGACATTGCACCTGTTTTCCCCCTGGCTGTCTCATTTACCCTGCCTATGGAGATAAATTTTTGAAAAACAGCAAAACAACAAAAAAAAATATTTCTATAAGGCTTAATTAGCTATGACATTTACTGAATATTGTCAGATAGTTGTTTGTTTGATATGTGTTATTTGTTGTGTTGCAATTGGATTGGTTTTTACTATATAATTGCTCAAAGTCAAATTGCACATTTGTGCCATGCCCTACCCTATATAAAATTAATAAATAAAAAAAAAACTCTTTTTCAGATTATATTATACATATTGTTTTGATAGTGATGTGATGTCCCGCATGACTAATTTCACTTGAAATTAAATTTGAGATCTGTAATATCAAGAGCAAAAGTTGTTATTCATTGTCCGACCAACTCTTCAACTATCTGACCCCAACCGAAATATGTATATATCGTGTAACTTCTGTATCGTGATTTAGTTCCATATTAAATCGCTTCATATAACCGGAGAACCTCAATTGCCGGCTTTTGCTATGATTTGTGATCGATATATTTTGAATTTACAACACCTAATGACACGGTTGAGAAATTTACTACTAATACATTTAATGAATACATACATATACATACCCATACATACACGTGCACATAGACTTGCGATATTTGAAAAAAATGACGAAAGTTTAATTAAGAGTGGATACACTATAGAATTCTAGAGCATTCTCCCATTAAGCGGGATTTTATTAGAATCAAAGAGCAGGAGATAATCGGAGGTTTTAGTTAGTATTATTTATTGTCCATTATACCTAGACAAAAGACCTAGTCCGGTATGTGTAAATGCATTTCCTTTGCTATATAACAAATGTGACAAAAACACACACAAAATATTAGTAATATATAATTTGACTGCATAATTTTATCAACAAAGCACGAACTAATCAAAGGATTAAAAATAGGACAGTTTTCCTACTTCCAAAATTATTTTTATGACAATTTTGACTTCAGAATCAAAATTAATTCAGAAAATCTCTTTCTAAATTAGGCACTTAAATTGTATTGAAACTATTCATTAGTTAAGAAAAACTCAAGTCAATTTTCAGAAATCTAAACATATTATTTTGTTAAATATTATTATATACATTTATTAGGGTGGTCATCAATATGGATATTTTCGAATTTCCTTGCTCCCAAAGACTCAATTTCTTCCAAAAAAAAACAATACTCTGAAAGTTTTAGCTCTTAATATTAACTTTTAGATAGTGCGCAATCCAACCAAGGTTTCATATGGAAAAAAATCTATTTGTTTTTTAAATTTTTATTACTTAGCGTCAAGTGAATCAAAATTTTGAGAATAACCTTGTATTTGCTTATTTTGATCATAAATAAAAAAATTACAACAAAAATTTGATATACTATCTTACTATTCTATATACTATCGGACTATCTTAAAGTTAATATTAAAAGCTGAAACTTTCAAAAAATTGTTTGTTTATCAATTTGGAAAGTTTTTATCACCTGGGAGCAAGGAAATTTGAAAATATTCATATTAAGGACGACCCTAATATTGTTTATATATAATCTTCTCATGACTTCTAAGTACAGACATTATTAAAATTCTATTTCCAATTAGAACCTAATTTAGGTGTAAGTGGCATTTTGTCTGAATGCAAGTTGCATGAACTTACCTTAATACGTGCATATAATCGATTTAATCAACAAGAAGTGAGATTTAGCTACTGAGATAATTATAAAACTGCTTATTTCGAAAAATTATTTATTAATGATTAAAAATTAATCTATACTATTTTCAATTGATATATTTAAAACAAAATTATAACATATGTAGTTATGTTAATTATAGTGCACCAATACATGATTGTTGTCCTAGAAACATCAATCCAAATACATACTCTTCATAGGACTATAATGCTATAGAATATTTGTTTATACTATGAAATCTATCGCCATGTTGTCGTAAAAAAATATTTTTTTAAAGATTAGGCCCGGCTGATCTTTATCAAAAAATAATTAGTATGTTTTACAACTAATGCCATTGAATTTTTAAATTTTCAAAATCGGTTCAGGATTTTTTGGCAAAACGTTGACAAAAAAAATGCACTTTTCTGCAACTAAAAAACTAGTCCTTATCGAAGTTCATCAAATAACATTTACATTTTTGATATCAACGCAGTCGTTTTTTGGGAAAACTGATGAAAGATCTACACACATACACTCATGATTTTTTTTGCAATTTTGGCCATAAACGGCTCAGAATGACTTAAGAATACAATAGATGTCCATCCTAACCAACTAGGATGTCATTTACACTAAGCTTAAAAGAAAAATACTAAAAAATTAAAAAGAAATTTAATTAACTATGGCACTTTTATTTTACTACATTTTATTGGTTTTCCCCTTTTGTTTTTAGTGTTTTTTTTATTATTACTAATTTGTAAACAACTAATTGTAAACACTTGTCAGCATTCTCTGCTAAATGTAATTATATATACAGATTGCAGAATAAAATTAAAAAAGAATAATTTATAAAATTACCAAGACGTATTTTCTGGGACGTTAAATAAACAATTTAATTTCAAATAATTCAAATTAGCCTTAAGACAACATATATTAGATTTAGAAACCGATTCTGCCGCATAACAGAAAAAAGTTACGGAAAGGCCATGTTACGCTCCGACTTCCATACATTATGCTACTGAATCATACTGAATACTGTCAAAATGTCTGTATTTGCTGTTCATTCAGGCGTTTTACACATAAACTGCAATGTCACTCATATGTTATGGAGCTATATTAGAAACACACTGTTATCTGACATCGTTTTTTTTATATTAGTGCGGTTTCTAGATTATGTTTTCTATCAGACAACCTGAGAAATTCGCCTGACTGCACACCAACCGCATGGCTTTTGTCAATATTAGTATGAAAAGTTCTTCATAACATGACCTTGCCATAACATTTTTCTGTTATGCGGCAGAATCGGTCTCTTAATTTCAATACTTAATATTAACTTTCTGTTAATCTTAAACAAATGAAATCATAATAAAAGTGAGTTACGCCTGAGTACAAATTCTTCTAATAGTTTTATATTGTTCTATGAATCTATTTCGTACGTACATAAAAATTTAACTCACTCTATTTAACTTATATGTTTAGCAATATAATACCGATTACTCCTAAAAGAATCGATGTACCAAAAAAGCGAAGGTCACTGCATTATATTGCTGTCGAAATTTATTGCAGCAATTGATATAAAAGTTCAAGGTTCTGTTTGTCCCGCGAACGAATATTTGGTATTGACCCAGGAGCAGAAGATAGATACATAGACATAGACATATATATATATATATATATATATATATATATATATATATTGTTGCTATGTAAGTTCTATTCTTTTATCATCTTTTAGGGAAATGTTGCCAGACAGACTGACTGGCGCCTCGAATTCGCGGGCGCCACTCACGATCAAGGTCTCTGAATGAATATTCGAATATTCGGCAGCAAAACAAACGCATTCATGGTCGAAGAGAAATCTATATTATTACAACTGGAAGGGTTTGTTTAACCTTAAGTTGAATATTAAATTGATGTATTTTTAAGAAATGGTAACAGAAATATTTCATTTTAGATAAGGCTGGTTGAAAATATCTGCACTGATGCTGATAGGTGGTTTTATAATTTTTGTTCGCTGGTTAGAATACTAAAATCAATAGAATTTATAGAAAGATTTATCAAAACAGAGATGCAACAAAAACATCAAGTCTTGAACTTGATATCTGAAACATGTTCAATTAGCCCTTAGAGACTCTTCGCATAAACTGGATAACATATCTGCACTATCCCAGAATATGTACTTGAATTATTAATTTATAATCTAAACCAGGGAATGCAATACAGATGAAAAATTACAATACCGGTATTTCGGTAATTTTTCATTTTAAAACCGGAATACCGGTAAATTACCGGTATTTTATTATCTTAAACAAACGTAAACAAAATTGAATGTTACTAGTACAAATATAAAAAAAATGTCTATACAACTACAACTATGTTCAATTAAACAATAACAACAATAAAATTAAACAATAAGTTTATTTTTTTAAATAATAATTTAACAAAAGTATATGCAATTTAATTAATTCATTATCACTATCGGGTATATTCATTATCACCAAAAACAAACTTATGAGTAAGAAAGACCAAAAACTCATAAAAGATCATATTACATTATCATAATAAACTGTATTGTCTGTATCCGATGTGTTAAATTAGCATTATCTCCAATATTTAAAAAAAATAATTTTTCTACACTAATTTAAGATCGGATACTTTGTCGAGATAGGTAATAAGTTACTATAATTGATGAGTATTGTTATTTAAAACAATGTGATGCTCCTATAGTATTTTCAAACTTCGAAACGTTTTCGAAAAATAATATTTTATAATTGTAATAAGAAGCAAAAATACTTAGGAGCTATCATAATTATTATGTATAAAGTTAGAAAAAAATGAAGATTACGCAGGGGTAATCTGTATGATATAAAATATTTTGGCGCAAATATCACTTAAAAAACCGTTACATTTTTACAATAGATGAAAAAACATCATTATCTATCAGTCCAATTCTATTTATTGTAACACAAAACGAAGCCCTTCAGAAAGCAATAAATATTCAGTTTAATGACGAGTTAAGATAATATTTGACATTTGTTTATCTTATACAATCACTTGAAGATATAGCTGTTTATGCGATTATGGAGTTTAAAGATAAATTTGTTCCGAGAAATTTAAACTTTAGGGTATTATGTATCAAATAGCGCTTATGTAAATACCTGTATTTTTGGAATGAATACCGGTAGAAATACCGCCGAAAAATCGGGCGGTTTACCGGTATTGCATTCCCTAATCTAAACCGTGTTTAAGGGCACGCACAACTAGTGTAACCGTCTAAAAAAAGGTGTTTTTTGGGAATTTATATTAAAAAAAAAAACTACTTTATCAATTATTTCAAAATTTTAGGAGTATATTTATACATGTTTTAAGAACACACAGTAAAATTTTTGAAGAAAAAAATTAAATATATTTTAAGTTATCGTCAATCTCCAACGGCGCGACAAAAAAAAAGCCCTTCACTGCTGCAGTGATTCCGGCCTTCTACGTGGATGAAATTTAAAAAAAAAATCTCGTTAAACTAGATAATATTGTATGTAAAATAAACTACGATAAAGAAAAAAAATCAAAAATTGACAAAATGACGGAGTTTTTTTTTTAAAAAAAAGTCGTGTTTTACCCGAAATTTTGGTCGTTTTTAGACTGCCAAAATTCGATTTTTGATCCGATCAAAAAATCGATAGTTCATTTTACGGAGAACTATATATAGAACATGTAAAAAAAAATCGATAGTGATCGGATCATTTGTTTTTGAGTAATCGCTGCAGCAAATTCGGAAAATGCTGTTTCGAGAAAAACGCGTTTAAAGATAAAATGATCATCATACTATATATATAATCTTTAAATGGCTGTGACTCAAAAACTATTTAAGATATCGATTTAAAATTTTGGTATGTTATTTTTAAAGGTATAAGCTATCGATATATGGAAAAATTGAAAAATTCTATTATTTGAAAATTTTACACTAGTTGTGCCCCTTAAAGGTAAAAAATCTACACACATTTATAAACGTACTTTTTTCCAATATTTGCCACAAACGATTCAAAATGACTTATCATAATAATTTTAATTGTCAAGTCGTTTTTTCTCAAAATTCATTACCTCCCCCCCCTCCGGAAGATTGTTAGTATAATGTATCTACGTTATCCCAGAATAAGTATATGATTTAGTTATTTATTATTTTTAACAAATTATTTTTTCCCTGACCTGTATCCATGTAGAATATGCGTCGTCCTGGCTGCCTCGGCCGGTTGCAACGGCCGCCCAAAGATGGGCCCCCGAAAGCAGAATGCCGGCCAGTACGGCTTCCCTAAGGCGAACTGGAAGCACCGCGTAGGTCAGATACACGAAGACCAGGGTGGAACTGGCTCCTGAAGATATTCGTCTGAAACAGAAAAATTCAATACATTCTAAAATCTAGACGTTTATAAAATTTGCCTTAAATAACTTGAACCCATAAACTAGTGGCGCGTGGCATCGTACCTTAAGTCAAATTGCTTTAACTTTCCGTACATATAATAAACATTATAAAAAAACTTTAAAAAATTTTGAAAACTTTGAAAAAAAAAATGTTTTTAATAATGATTGCTCATGAAAAATTTCATATTTTTCATATTCATGAGCTTTCATATTCTGAAGATCTTGAACTTTTTTTCCAAAGCATTCGTGCCTATTTTAGAGAAAAAATATCGAAACGCGTAAGCGTCGTGTCGCAGTATAACGTTTTAGCATTAGTATGAAGCCCATAGAGATGTTAACAAAATTTATCCTTATTATTTAAATCTCTATAAAATAACTGATATTTTGATGGACATACGTCTTTCTTGACCGCCAAATGGTATTATTTTTACTTTTCTTACTCAATCTCACAAACTACTAGACATGCCTTCCTAAAAATTAATAAGTTCTTAATTTTGTCAAAATAAGTGTAATAAGTCGAAATATTTTTTGAATTATTGAAATCGGACGCTCCGTTCTCTTAAAAAATCAATTACCATTTTTAGCACTTTTTGCCCCGTATCTTCGAAACGGCTGGACCTGCTTTTACCAAAAACTAATCAGCATGTCTCCTCATCAGTAGGAATCGAATGTTTTTAAAATCAATCAAATAAGTTATTCCATATTGTCAAAAATGTCTAGGATATTTGTTTGAACCATATACGTGAATTTTAAAATTCATGTCGCCTCCTTATCAATACGAATCGAATGTTTTTTGAATTATTCAAATCGGTTGATCGGTGTTCCCAAAATCGTCGACGAAAAAAGCCGCACACACACATACTCACATACACACATACATCGATTTTTTCTGATGTATGCCAAAATGTTCAGAAACCTCTGAAACGTAAAAATATATAAAAATTTTCATTTTCGATTTTTTTTTTGCAATTAATATAACTCACCCTCCTACTGAAAATAGTGAAATCAAAACGTTCACGAAAATCAAACTTAAACTAATCATACCGCAGAAGCAAATTTTGACTTGATCATATTTTTTCAAATTTTGATGAAATTTCAAAATTAAGCCATTTTTACGTGGTTTCTGTATCGTAAAAAATTAATCAAAATCGTTCAAATTTTTCTTCAAAATTTAATTATACGATCTTTACCAAAATCTAACGAACGCGATTTCTGACTAATATCTTTCGTACAGGATTTAAATTTTTAATCAATTCAAAATTGTGGGCTACAACCAGGACGAGAGATGAGAAATTCACACACACACACATATTTTTTCAAAATTTAGTCTCAATCGCTTCAGAATGACATAAAACGAGGAAATAAAATTAGCAAATCGGATTTTTTGGCCTAACAAACTTCTACTTCTGGAAAAAATAATTACCCGCGGACGAAATCATGGATATAGACGAGGTAAGATAAGATAATTTAATTTTTTTTGGAAAAAAATGTAGCCTAAATTACACCAAAATACATCTGGTACTGCCATAAAAGCGTGGTTAAGATCGGTCCAGGTCATTTGTTAAAATTGTAAAAAAAGTTTTTTATGTTTATATGAATTTATTAAAAATGCTATATTCAATATTGCACAAAAACGCTCCAATTTTATTTTTATTTTATGATTTAAAGTATTTTAATGTGACTTATTTCAATTTAAGAATTTGAAAAATTAAATAATATGTTTAAAAACTGGAGTTTCTCTTACACATTTATTAATCTCCCGCAAGGTAAGTTATAGTAATCACAAAAACAATCGAAAATAAAAATTTTTGCATACCTTAACGTTTTAAATTTTGGCATACCTTAGAAAAAATGGATGTGTGTTTTATTTATTTATTTATTTATTAAATTTTACAAGCCGTCGGTATAATATTTAATATTATAATGAAGCTTAAGTCAATATTTTATAGGTTTAATATAATTTAATTAATTATTAAATATATTATTACTTATTTATTTATTACTTAATTTATTTACTATAAACTTATTTATATTTAGTTAATTATAATTATTTTTAAATATAACTAGTTTGTTTGTTGCAAGTATTTTTAAAAATTTAATAAGTATTTTAATAAGCTTTACAATACATTTACAATATAATTATTTTATTTAACAAATTTTAGGTTATTTCAAGATAATTCAACAAATTTAAGTGTCTTATATTATTGTAATTATTATTATTATTATTACCATTAATATTAACATTATCATTTTTATTATTATTGGTAAATATTTTTACAAAATAATATTTTTTCTTTTATAAATTTTAAGGTATTTGGATGAAGGAAATATGACTTGAAATTGGCGTTGTATTTTTTTTTATAAATTTATTTGATATTTGGGTAAAATATCCTTTCTCCTTTCCGAGCAGTATCTTTTATTCTTATAACTCTATCCCTTATATCTGAATTATTTACCAACCAATATAATTCAGTACCTACGTGTCATTGTTTTAATTAATTTCAAATATCCACAAACAATATTATATAATGTCTGAATACTTTCAGTCGAAGTTTACCTCGGGGCTGCCGTTAGTGCCAGACAGATCTCCAATCCAAGGAACGTGACCAGGACGACGTAGGAGACGGCCAGCAAATGAATTTCGTTCAGGGCCGGTCTAGACAGAACAGCCATCAAACCTAAGAAATATATAAATAAAATAAAATAAAATACACTGGCGAGATGAATTTATTGCATTACATTACATTACAGGTTGTCTGGGGTGCGTGTTGACAGTTTTTCAATTAATTTATACATTAGATACAGGTGGTATGGGGACAGTAGATTGGGATGTGATCAAATAGATTGAGATTTTTGTGGTTAGAAATTGTAAGTAAACTAGTTGGTGTTGGTATTTTGCCTTGAGGCAAGTTACATGACTTTACCGATATGTGTAAATAATCGACTTGATCAATAAAGAATAAATTAATTTATGAGTGTATAAAAGTATTCCGTGTGCACTTATTACACGTAATTGAAAGCGAACGAACACGTCAACTCGGAGTATTTTCTAAACGCAAATTTTCAAAAATCAACACTTTTTATAATTGAACCAGTTTCCGTAGGACTCTAAGGGTTCAGTATGTTCATTAAGACCAAGTAATCTATCGTTTACCAAGTAAATCGTCTAGTTTTGATTTTAACAAATGTCAAAAAAGTACTCATCTTCTCAAACTTTGATGAATTTTTAAAATTAAACTACTTGTCGTAAGGCCGTAAATTTCAGCAAGTTCTGTAAGACCATGATATGTATCGCCATAAAAAGTTTCATGAGAATCGGCTTAAATTTTGTTTTCAACAGTTAATTACAAGAAAACGGCTCGGTAGATTTTCACCTAAAAGTAATCGGTATCATTCCCAACTAATATCTTTCGAACAGTTTTTGATTTTTTAAAATCGGTTCGATAGTATAAGCTTAAATGTGAACATAAAGTTTAACACTATTTTTTCAAATTACAAGAAAACGGCTCGACCGATTGTCGTACAAAACTGAGAAACGATAATCTTCATCGAAATATATCAAATGGTTTTTAAATTTCTGAAATTCGTTCAGGCGTTTTTGAGCAACCGTCGATAAAAGTTCCAATTTTGACAAATGCCAAAAAGATCATACTAATTTTTGCAAATTTTGATGAATTTTTAAAGCTGAACGAGTTGTCGTAGGGCCATAATATTTTAGTATGATCTAGAAGACTATGGTATCTACCGTTAAAAAAAATCATAAAAATCGTTGAATTTTTTTTAAAACTTTATTACAAGAAAACGGCTCGGCCGATCTTTATCAAAAACTAATCATCACGATTCTCAACCAATATCTATCGAACGGTTTTTGAATTTTCAAAATCGATTCAGAATTGCGGGCTAAAACGTGGACGAAAAATTTTTCACTTTTCTTCTTTAAATTTTTGAAATCGGTCCAAGCGTTTTTGAGAAACGTCGATTTACGGCAAAAAATCTGTTCACACACACGCGCACACACACACATACTTTTTCGAAATTTGGTCTCATTCGATTCAGAATGGCTTGAAACGTCGAGAAAACATAAAATTAGCAAATCGGATTTTTTATGAAATCATAAACTTCTCCTTCGGAAAGTTAATAATTGACTTTGAAATTTGAATGCTATAGCATCCACGTCATTTTACATCGCAATAAAAGTTAAAAAAAAATATCTCTATTATCTCTACCTCCATAAATGATGGCACAGCACGTCAACATGAGTCCAACCCCAATATAGTCCCTAAATTGTTGTCTGCTTCCCTGTTCTGGGCCACTAAGGTCCCACAAAGGGTCTTGATAGTTCGACTCTACTCCGTGTGTCCAGAGGGCAGCACCGTGCACTAGGGCCAAACCGGCGGCCAAACTTATTAAAAGACCTAAGAGGTGCGTCATGTTACTTTGGTTCATTCTAAGGAAGTAGCGCTGGTAGAGCATCTCCACCTGGAAAAAATAATCAAAAATATTAACATTTAATATTATATGCAATTTACTGAACAAATTTAAATTTAGATTGAAAATCAAAATGACCATTCTGTAATTCATAATTAAAACATAGGTATAGGTATAGGTAGAGGTATAGGTACTGTTTGCATTATTCTCAATTAATTATAAAATTCATTACCTCACACCACATTTTTCAATTTTTAGCTTTGAATAAATTTTCATTTGCATTTACAATATCGATATGACCTTTATTAACCACGCACAAATCATTAATAAAATATCGAAAATGCATATTCGATCTAAATGGAAATAATGTAGTTTGCGAGACATTTTGAATTATTAAATGGCAATAATTGTTATGGAAACAAGTTTCGAGTGCATTTGGTATTATTTAAAGATAGAATTTGAGTAAACGGGGACTTTGTAAAAAATGTATTTAATAAAAATCGTACAAATTCGAGAATGAAACTTTGTCTCATCATAAACAAGTATATACAAAAATAAGTTTATTGATATTACAGCACTAAATAATCTGGGAGAAATACTCTAAACAATATATTAACTTAACTAGTGGTGTATGGCATCGTGCCTTAAGGCAAATTGCTGAAACTCTCCGTACCAGAATTAAATATTCGAGCAAAATAAAAATTAATAATCAATAAATATTGATCAATGATTAATAACAATTGTTTAAAATATTTTCAAAAAGATAATTTTAATTACTTTATATGCAATCGTTTATATAATACGATATATACTCGTATACAATGATGATCTTATTGCTCAAAACACTTAAGAATATTTACATTAAGAAATTCCGAATGAATCCATCTGAGGACATATGTTTTAGTATAACGCATATAAAATATATAATTTTTAAACTGAATTGTAAATTTAAAATTTATGTTCAAAGTATTATACTTCGTATATTTTTAAAAATTTTGAAAATTTAGAAATTTGATTAAACTTTAAAAATTAAAAATCTTGGTAGAGAAATCAAAATTTAAACAAAATTAGTATTCATATTTGAAATGTCTATAAAATATCTAATAATTTGATGTGTATAAGTCTCATGATCATTTTAGACCGCCAAATATCATTTTTTCCTCTGTATTTCCAAAACCGCTAGACCTACCCTCCCAAAATAAAATCAATTTTTCATTTCGTCAATACAAATAAAATGTTTTTTGAATCATTCAAATAGGACTCTCAGTTCCCTCAAAAACTGAATCACCATTTTTGATACTTTTTGCTCCGTATCTCCGTAACGTCTGCACCTGCCTCTATCAAAAACTAATCAGGACGTCTAATCAATCTTATCTTATCCTTATCAATAGGAATCAAAAAATTTTCAAATCGCTTGATCTGTACGCCCGAAATCGTGGACGAAAAATTGTATCCAAACTCACACAGACACACATACATCCATTTTTTCTAAGGTATGCCAAAATGTTCAGAAACCTTTGAAACGTAAAGATATGCAAAATTTTCACACTTAACAGAAAACAGATCAGCCTTACTTTTTTTTTTAAGTTTTGATAATTCTACAAATCTTCCAATGCCATAATACCAACAACTAATCAGAAAAACCTATGATCTTTATTTTGAATGAAACTGCATTCTCATTACTGTTTGATGATATCTGAATGGAAAATATTTTTTAGGCTAGGCAGGTATTACAGCTGTTCAAAGAATGAGATAATAACGCCAGCGAATAAGGAAAAAAATATAAGCAGTCAATGAATGTATGTTAATTTTAATAACATGAAGTTCCTCAAACACAATTATTACATGATGAGTGAATTTGTGAAATTCACCGTGTGAACGAATATTATAGAATTTATTAATCAACAATTATTACTTCATTTCTCTAATGAAGGTTCATTTCTAAATGCTCATTACAATGACAAACCGATCATGTCATATTCGAAGTATGGCTTTAATTACATTATTGTTTTTAAGTATTTTTAGATATCTGGTTGTCCAAAAAACAAATTGAATCTGAAACACTGCGACGGTTATCCACAAAATTTCACAAAATATTCTTCAAAAAAATTCTCCCAGCTCTCCCACTATCTTCTACCTTTTGTTTTTGCACCGGCTCGATTTCAATTTGACTTCCTGTGTTCGAAATAAAGCGAATCATTTATTCAACAGATTCGTAAAAGTATTTCCATCTGTCGAATTCGTTATATTTCGGCAGTATATACTATATATATGTAACACGTTGGGTGCTGCGGTAGAAACAGTAATGGTGGTTGCTGTAGCCAATGGTCGGATTGCATATTAATAAATAAACAGTCGATATTTGTTTCCGATAACCGACCGCATTGACGAGGTTGTGCATGTTTAATAATGGTATCGAGTAATATCCAATATCGACTCTGCCGGATTTTGATCTTTTGTGCTTTTTGGCTAACTAGATTTTGGGAGTTAACTGAATTATTAAACTTCATATGTAGGAGGAGATTTTAGTTGCGCCATTGTATGCTCGTGGATCCTTACCACAAAAAGTTTATCTATCGAAAAGATTTTTTAACGACTCGTAGGGTAAGTTGTAGTAATCGCAAAAAAACGAAAATAAAAATCTTTATATATCTGAACATTTTGGCATAGAGAAAACGGATGTATGGGTATGTGCGTGTGTGTGTGTGTGAGGACACAAATCTTCGTCAACGATTTCGGGAACACGGTTTAACTGATTTCAATAAATAAAAAAACATTCGATTGCTATTGATAAGGAGACGTGCTGATTAGTTTTTAGCAAAGACAGGTCTAGCTCTTTCGAAGATACGGGGCAAAATGTGCCACAAAATAGTATATCAGTTTTTAAGAGAAAGGAGCGTCTGATTTTAATAATTTAAAAAACTTGTATTGACAAGATGAAAGACTGATCATTTTTGAAAAAAATGCCATTTGAAAAAAAAATGCCATTTAGCGGTCAAAAATGATCATTTGACATATGCACATCAAAATATAAGATATTTTTATGGGGATTTTAATAATACGTATAAATTTTGTTTATATTTCTAAGAGTTCCGTAACATCGTTAGTCCGTAAGACGGCGACGCGGCGCTTATGCGCTTCGATATTTCGTCTCTATGCAGCTTGAGCAGCGTGATTGCTTCGAAAAGTTGAAAATTTCCAAAATATTTCAAAATAAAGAAAACATTTTTTCCAAAAAATCATTTTTTTTCCAAAAAAGTCAGTTTTTTCAAGCAATTTCAATTTCTCAACAATCTATTTTTTTCAAAGGTTAAAAAAAATTATTCTTTTAAAAAAAAAAAAAATTTTGGTGCGGGAAGTTCCATCAATTATTAATATGCTGCCATAGACCACTAGTTTATTTCCAGAATTGGTTCATCGTCGACGAAAATTTGTATCCGAACACACACATACATCCATTTTTTCTAAGGTATTCTAAACCTTTCAAACGTAAAAATATATAAAAATTTTCATTTTAGATTTTTTGCGATTACCATAACTTATCGTACGGGAAGTTAATAAGTCAATTTATTGCCCACATACGTACACTTTTTCCAATTTTTGTGTCAAACGATTCCGAATAACTCGACACGTCAAGAAAGCCTTGAGTTTTATATTTATATAATTTAATAATTGCGTGAAATTAATTATCAGCATTTAATATGAGATATAAAGCTTCAGCTGACATACTGTGAAATTCGTTTTTATTTGCAAATGATTAAAAAGAATACGACTTTGATATTTAAAATAAATGATTCAGCAGCTCATTAAACGTTTAATTGAATAATTACAATTTTTATGGTCGAGTTAATAAATCGACTTGTTCAGAAAATCCGAAAGAAATATTTAAAATGCAAATGGAATAAAATATAATCATACTTTAATTAGTTATTATAAATAAGCTACACAAGAGTCTTGAAAAAGATTTATGAATTACGATTTTCTACGTTGTTCAGTAGCTTCGAAAATATTTGATATTCTTAAATATTTCAAATTCAATCTATTTAATAATTTTCAGTTCAAAATTGTAATAAATATAGAACTTACATAACATCAAGTTCCAATAATTTATGCAATATATATATGCATAATATGTACTCTTTATTATTGTCATCATTTTAGAAATAGATGTGGAAATTGAGAGTCTTACTTAAAAACTTTTCGAGAAATGTTCTGTTCTCGCAGCATTGTTGACCGGTTTTGTACAATTTACTATTGAAACTTTGGGATTGTTTAATGTCAAAAATAACCATATAAAATTAACATATCATAAATTATGTTTTTTTCAAAACTTCGCAATTTCTCGATATTTCTGTCCCAAAGAAGCCAGATAAATTCGCGCACCTCATTCTAAGCCGTTTTTAATCCAATTACATGCGATAAATTGACGACCATATATAGTATTTGAAACGAAGGTCGTTTTATTTTCAATCAATATTATATAAAAAACAATACACAATACAACAGTAGATCGTAAACTGTTGTAAAATCTTATTGATATTTTAGGAACTAAACTGACCTGACCTTGCCTACGATAGAGTTGTTGCATCACTTGCACTCTATTCGATTAAATTGTCATTTTGTTATTTTTGCGGCAAACAATCGTAAATAATGGAATATGTGGATGATATAAAAATAAAATTTATAGCAGTTTTTTGGAATGGAAAATTACTATCATATATAAAGGACATATGATATAAATTGTACGTAGTCACTGCGTTGTGTCTCAGAACTAACTAGAAATTTCTAAAAAAAGTTATTGACTGTGATTTTTATTGTAGTCTATAACCTAAAATGTATGTAAATGAATACGCATAACTCAATAACGCCTGCACTAATTTGGCCAATTATTTTTTCAAAATATTCGTTGAAGCCCAAGGATGGTTCTTACGGTAAGAAAAAATCGAATAATTGCCGGAAAAACACTAAAAACAGTCTTTTTCTTTTTCACATACGAACGTTTTCTAACTAAAACA